TGGGACCATCTCCAGCAGACCAGGGACACCGGGAGCAAAGGAGGCGGAGGGGCGCTGGGGTATAAGATGAAACCCTATCTTTTAATTAAAAAGATAGGGGGTCGTCTTATACGCCCAGTCGCCCTATACGCCGGAAAATACGGTAATAGGCTTCTTTTTAATTAAAACAGAAAAATGCACATGGAGTGGACAAAGGTTGCTTAAATCTGGCCTCAGATTTGACATCACAGTGGATACCATTGAAAAGCAGTATTGACCAACAGTTACAAATGCATCAGGTTGATGTCCTTGTTCTGTGCGGGGCATTTCCTTGGTCTGAAGGGTGTGCTATATGTAAACCCATCAGAGATAGCTGTGCAGCACTTAACGCTTACCATAAGTCGAGTAACTGCTAGGCTCCCAAATGGCCGCTTAGCAGTAATGACCAGTTCAATTGTACTGCATAGAGAGCATCTGCTCTTTATCCTTACGTCCTTTGTCCCATCTTCTGAACTTTCTGCTCCCCAGCTATGTGGCAGGGGTACATCCTACTGCACACAAGTTGGGCAGAGGTAATGAGCACAATGTAGTATGTAGCCATTGCTGCTCTAGCTTACTTTGGCCCTAGAAGTGTTGTGCTAACAGGCTGTTATGGGAGACATTTATCTTGTGAGGAATAGGTCCTAAGATGGGGATATCAGAATAACCCACCAAAGTGCGACAGGTGTAAACATCAAGGCAAAGGTGTTCCCCAGGATTTACAGGACACTCCAATTAAAAGGATGGTCTTGAACAAAGGACAACTGAGGCTGAATAATTTATGTTTCTGTCTGAGCAGACATGTTTAGATTTTGTCGTCACTTAAAAACTGGCTCTCTGTGACAATGGGTGCCAACAACTTGTTACCATCAACACTGCCCCATCAACTGGTGTTGAAAACAGTTGGATGGTTAAGGACTGTTATCAATGCAGATTTGTAAGTGCTGACAAAGCTTTAGTATTGATTTGTTCCGAGAAGGAAAGCTGAAGAGTGATATTTATTGTGGGATAAAAACTAGAATTACTTGAGCTTTTGCTGACATTCTGCCAGTGAAGTTTTAGCATTCAGACCACACAGCGGAAATGTTTTAGAGGATATATTGCCTCCTTAAAGCAGACTTTGAGGTTATGATCTGATGTTTATAATTGTAAGAGTTATTGATTGTCGTTTAATTGAAAATAGAAAACTCCCAAACAATAGCATTTAACAATCATGTGATTAAAGTTAATCCCTTTTAAAAAAAAAACACTTGTGAAATATAAGCAAGTCGAATAAACTTAAACAGCTAATGTTTTAAAGTCACACACTTTATCAAGAGTAAAAATTAAAAACATTTCATATGCTTTACATGTGGTTTATAAGCATATGGTTTAAGACCATATAATAAAAATCAAAGGAATTTTTAATGGGGGTTTAACAATAATTTAGTTTTGCTTACACCATTAATACTTTGGCCAAGTTCCACATATGACTTTGGAAACCAAAAATATTGGTCACTGTATTTTACTCCATGAGCTTAATTATGTGTTCAGATATTGGAGCTGTATGGTAGTTTTATCTCACTGTGGTGTTGATTCAACAGGGCACTTTTAGCATGTGCGTAGTCTCCTAAAATGGGGCCCAAATGAAACTGTGTGCTGCATTTACTGCATACATGAGAGTGTGGCCTTGGAACTTTTTAGGTAAGTGAGATTAGAACAGAATTAGAAAATTGCAGTATCGTGAAGGTAATTCTTATGAGATTTCACCATAGTTGAAAACAGCACGTTTTAGAATGTCAGACCACAGAATTAGTGCAACTCTGGAAGACCTTTTTGTGTGGTAGATGAAACATAGTCAGTCAGTGACTTTGACTCATTGTTGGCTCAAGAAAAAGGTACAAAATGATTTTACAGCTTTTCTGCAGAGAGATTTATTTGAGGCTTGGTGATTTTTTTTTTAATATTAAAGATGGAGATATTTTTTCTAAGATTGCTTCATTTCAGCATGTCCATTTTCTGAAGTTCAGTATTTGGGAAAACAAGGAGGAAACTGAATGTCTTAACTGAGAAACTGAAACATCAAAAAAAGCACAATTCTACTGACTTTGCACCTACTGTACCTCTCAACTTTGCAACCCTTGGTTTCTGCAAGGTATTTTACTGCTTTTATTATTAACTATAGGATTTTTTTAAATTAAAAAAAAAAGACAAAAACCATTTTCTCTGACTAATTGGCTATGTTTACACTGGCGGGTTCTTGCACCAGAAATATGCAAATGAGGCTGTGTGGAATATCGCCGAGCCTCATTTGCATTCCTAATGAGCCTCCATTTTTGCGGAAGAGGCTCTTGCACCGGAAGGAGCTGTCTACACTGCCCCTTCTTGCGCAAGAAAAACCCTCTTGCGCAATGCCGGTACGCTGATTATTTTCAGGAATGATGGCAATATTCCACACTTAGCCTCATTTGCATATTTCTGGTACAAGAACCCGCCGGTGTAGACATAGCCATTGTGTATAAGATGCTCTGGTTTGAAAAGGCAGAAATAGAATGGTAGTTTTTCAGTGCCATCAATATGGTGTCCTGTCACCATAGTACATGAACACATCACGAACATGAATAAATTCATTCTCATAGTGCCTGGGTTGGGGTATCTCCATTTTATAGAGGAGAAAGTAAGGCATCCAGAAATGAAAGACCCTATCCAAAGACTACCGAAGACAATATAAAGACCCCTAGTGATTTGCCCAAAGTTATATGGGAACTTTGCGGAAGAGTTGCAAGTGGAACAGAAGTCACTTGACTCTCGATTCAATTCGTTCACCACAGCCACAGTTCCTCATCCATTGATTGCAGTGGGAGTTTTGCATATACAAGAACTACAGGTTAGGCTCCAGCATAAGATGCAGAAAATTAAGATACTACTGACCTGTCCCTCTGTCCTTTTTGATTAATTTATCCAGTCTTCTCTTTGCGTGCAGACAGAGGTTGTTGAGGAGTTGGGAACACATACTTTTGGCTGACTCTGCTCAGTTTGGTTTGCTCGGCCCCTGGAGTGTGCTGTGGTTGGAACATTACACTTAGTGAATGTCTGTAGTTTTAGTAAACACTTGCTAAATAAAATGGGCACAGGCTTTTTTTCAGATTTAAAAAAATTAGTCCATTTATAAATGGCACATTAATAGTGCATCATGCAAAATATCTTGGATGAGTACTTATTAAAGTCTAACTAGAAAATACTATAGACTTTTTAAAGAAATAAGTATTATACAATGTATTTTGGCAAGCCCCCGTGTTATATTTGAGCCTGATCCAAAGCTGCTTATAGTCCGTGGGAGACTTTTCATTCACTTCAGTGGTCTTTGGATCAGCCCCTTAATGTCTCTTGCATTTTGGATGATTTTTCATAAAGAGCTGGAGTAACTGGGTATTTGAAACACTTTGGCCATGCATTGTGAGCAGGCAGCTGCACACCTCCTTAAATTGCCTATCTGCTGACCTGAGTCTTGACCTGGATGGACCACCCTCTCTCCAAGTGAGAGAGGTGATTCAGCCTTTGTGCTTGTTCAGGCACTGACCTGTCATTTGGGTCAAATTATGGTATTTGTAGTGCTTTTGCAATGTGGACTTTTGTACACTAGGGATGGAGTTAAAACCAACCCACTCTTTTACGGTCTTGGTCTCCAATCCCAGATGCAGAAGGCCAGTCGTTTTTCCTATTAAAACTCCTGGCTCTTGTTTGCTATTTTTTGTTGGCGTGTTACACTTTACAATGGTAAAACAAGATTTTTTTCTGTAAATGCCGTGTGTTCTCACAAAACCAACTTGTATAATCAGATGCAGCTTTTTAAAATCTAATTGCCTCCTAAACAAGTAAAAGTGAGAGAAGGCTGAGTGAAAGTAGGTTTCACAGCAGTGCTCATATTTAATGGTGTTTCATGATCACTAAACAACATGTATTTACAACATTATCACATCCCACTGTTTCATGGAGTGAAATGATTTTCTATAGCCACACTCTGACTCTGCATTTGCAGTTTTGTACAAATTTCTATCCTTTTAGGAAACCACAAATGTCTTAGTATGCTATCTTTTTTTAAAAAACTGTGGTGTAATGACATTTCCTCATCCTCTGGGAAACTAGCAAGATGTGTACACAGAGTGATACAGAGTCATTTTTCTATTTCCGTCGTGTTTTCTTATTGCTGAGAACTTCTGTTAAGATAAACAGTAGCTATGTGTAATGGATAAAAAAATAAAACAGTTATACAAACATTATATTATGCATACATAATGTTGGAAACTGTAGAGTGCAGATAGAGTATTTTAGGATTTTTTTTTAGTCCACTTTATTACAAATCTATTTAAAAGGAATACATCTCCTTGTAAATCCTATTGTAATAGCATAACTTTCAGTACCTTATTTTGAACTTGTTCTAAACAGTAAAATTCAGACAAGCCATGCATGGAATGTGTTTTGCGTCATATGCTGCATCTGAGAAGTTTTGAGTTACATTTTAAGGCAGCTCAAACTTCTAACATCCCTCTCCCTGCAATCAGCCAAGAGAAGAAAAATCACAGCAATAGCTTCCTGAATGGGAATTTCAGGAGCTGGGCACAATCCAAGGTAAGAAGTTTTCCAAACTATGGACTTAATAACGAGAACGAGGGGGACATTCAGTGACCCTGAAGGCAACAATTTAAAATCTGATAAAAAGGAATTACTGCTTTATACAACACACAATTAAATGGTGGAACTCATTGCTACAAAGTATCCTTGAGGCAAAGAGCTAAGCAGAATTCAGAAAAAGGGCTGGACTTCTAGATGGAGGCTGACAACATTCACAGTTACTTTACATAAGATTTAAACCTGATATTTAAAGTCATGGACACCCACTAACTGAGGAGGTTAGGAAGAAGCTTAACCGATAGGCAGATAGGCACTTGACTCCCACATTACTCATTACTGGGTTTCAGGACCTTCTCTGAAGCATCTGGTAAGTGTGGCTATCCGGGTTCGGACAGTGAATTAGAGATTGTATGGAAATCTCTATAGCGTTCTACAAAGAGCAGACTGGTCACAGAGTGCCTTCTCTCCTTGTTTCCATCTGCTACATTAAAAGACAGCTAAACGTACATTATATATTGTAATGCTATTTTTCTATGGAAGCAATCACAAGATAGTTTTCATAACACAATGGTGTGATTTTTAACCCTTATGCCAGGTCTCATTAGCCAGGTCTTATTGTACATTGTCACTTCAGTGCTGTACAGAGATACCTTCTAAGATAAATAAAATTGTCTTGGACCCCCTATCTCAAACCTTATCCATTCCCTGGTTTGGGGAACTTAAAATATTAACCCCATGTGCACCTTTATGTGTGGCTCTTCCCCACTCACAAGCACTCAAGAGTCTTTGGGAATGTGAAACCATAAATATGTCATAGCTAGAAAATACATAATAGCCATAACTATAATAGATTTTAAATTAGGAAAACCCAAAGGCTGTGTCTACATTGGCAAGATTTTGCGCAAAATCTTGCCGCCTGTCTACACTGGCTGGGGGGGGTTGTGGCTACACTGGCTGCGAGTATTTGCGCACGAACACTGATGTTGTAATGTACAAAATCAGTGCTGCTTGCGCAAATACTCTGATGCTCCTGCTCAGGGATAAGCCCTCTTGCGCAAGAGGCCAGTGTAGACAGGCAACATTAATTTCTTGTGCAAGAAAGCCCGATGGCTAAAATGGCCATTGGAACTTTCTTGCTCAAGAGAGCGTCTACACTGGCACGGATGCTTTTGTGCAAAAGCACATGCCAGAATAGATGCTCTCTTGTGCAAATACTTTTAACGGAAAAACTTTTCTGTTAAAAGCATTTGCGCAAAATCATGCCAGTGTAGACGCAGCCAAAGTGTGTATCTAGAGAGCAAGACCAGCTCTATAGCCCCAGTTATTCATTATCTAGCTTTTGCAGTTCAGAACTCTTCTTCTTTAAGCCGTCTCCATCTGCCTACAGCCTTACTCCCAAAACCATTTATACTTGATTGTCAAAACAGGCACCAAGAAGCAGCTGCAGTCCAGCAAAGCTCACACCACAGGTTTGTACTGGCACCCACAGCCCATTTTCCAGAAATCTGTTGTTTGCCCTTTGTCCATTCCAACATAGGTCTTTCTAGTCCTGGGTCTTTGCCTGCACTGGGTCTTTGAGATAGGAGAACATGAAAACATTTGATATTAAATCGTGTATTTTACACAGGAACCTTCTCAGCTCTTGATGACTCAAAATAACTATTTAAAGAAATTGGTAGATTAGGTTAAAGGTCAAAATTGTAAATTCCTAAAAGATGCAAAATAATCAGTTTTAAAAATTTAGTATCCCTGAATCCATCTTGGACTTAGCAATTTTAAATATATTTTTTGCTTTTTCTTGATTATAGAACAAATGATATCACTGTTAAAATCATGGTTTCAGGGATATTTCATTTTTTCAATATATTTTAATAGACAGAGATATTTCAAATAATTTCCTGTAGTTCCCCTAACTGTTATGTTCCTATAACAAGCCCCCCCCCCCCAAAAAAAATCAGTATGCCTATATTTTTCCATAAAAAAACATGCCATGCAGGTGAGGGAAGAATAGACCACTAAGAGTAAAACTAGCACGATTAAATATACAGAGCTGCATTGAAATTACTTTCAGCGAGGACAGGCAGAGACTATGTTCTACCATAACCGATAATGCAAAAATCTTCTATTACAGGAAAAAGAACCATGATTCTTTCTAGAATAGATTTCAGTGGCATCATATCTCTAGTTTAATGAAGTAAACCCTGAATGTATATAGTCTTTGTTGCATTTTTAATATGGCTTATAAAGTGTGTAATTAGTTATTTGGCTTTGGTCTATGGCCATGTTTCCATGCTGGATGTTTTGTGGCCCCTTTTTTCACAGACAGCCTGACAGTATGGCTGGCCTGACAGACAGAATGCGCATATCCCAGATAAGTAGGGGCATTTTTTCTTAATTATATGAATATAAATCTGAGGTGCGGTCAACGCTAGAATTTGGCTCATGTTGAGATCTTTGATGTATTATTGGAAAATTCTCCAACGTCCTTATTAACTTTTTCAGTGACATTTTTCTGAGTAATGACTTCAAGTTCAGAACCATTAGTTATTAGTATGTGTTTTATATAACACCTCTGTATAATATCATACCAATGTAAGAGATTTGTAAAGTAAGCAATGAAAACTGGCTGATTGTGAAGATGTAAATCTTGGTCTCACATCCACAATGCAATTTTGAAAAAAAATTTGACATGGTCTTGAGTTGCAAGATCAACTTTCCACGGAGATATTGCCAAAAATACTTGTTAATCCCAGGCAGTTAGCTAAGCCTACAAATCGATTCTTAATCCTCCTGTCAAATGTACCACTTATTTTAACTTTGATAATTTTTGTGACAGTTTAGCTGCCCCATTACTTTTGGATAAGATTACATCCATTAGACAATCTACTAATTCTATTGCAGGCAAATCCTAGGAAGTTAATAATGACCAATTGTGCAGTAATTCTAATGCAAATTCAGATTGTTTTTTAAAAATGTTTACCCTCAGTGTTACTGATGCTGAGGAAAATGGCATATATAATGAGAAATGCAACCTCTATGTTGCCTATAGGCATCGTAGTTTTTTATCTTATCTCTAGCCAAGTCTGTCTTGAATTCAGTTGTTCTCTGTTTAATGATATTTAAGAGTGCCTAGTTATTCTGCTAGATACTTAAGCATGTGGCTAATTTTAATTCTTGAGTTCTGACTACAGTCCCCAAGTAAACTGAATCAGTAGGGCTACCTATGAATTTGAAGTTATGCATGTGTTTAAATATCTTGATGAATTAAGACCTATGTGTTAAACCCAATTGTTAATTATCTTGGTGCTCTATTTGCTCCCGGTATTAAATTTCAATTGTCCATGTAGCAGAAATTCATATGTAAACCAAAATGAAAACTGTAGCATAATTCTATCTCCTCGGTAGCTTTGTGTTTAATGCAGATCATTTTTCCCTGCAAAAATTGCATATATTTAATTTTCACTTATGGAGAAATTCTAGCTTTATAATCTCCAACACTCCTGTTTCTTAAAGGAGAAAGTTGAATAAAAGTATTTTCACTGGCATTTTGAAAGAACATGTGTGAGAAATGCTGTTGTGTGAGCAGGAACTAGAGCCAAGTTATTCAAATCTGATGCTTTAAGTTATTTGCCAAAAATCATATTGAGGCACTGTGACACTACACCCCACAGTCTTCACAGTTATGTGATTATGATGTAATTATGACAAGATTATGATGCACTTTGTACAAGATGGGTGATGTAAGGTGTCATTGTAAAAGCTATGATTTGATTAATATGATTATCCTGTTTGTATGCATGTATCATTATTGTATCTGAAGTTATGAATATTGAATATGGATATGTATTTTAAATGAGTTTACTCTGAAAAACACCCACAGCTAACCTTTCAGGTACAAGCATATTGAAATTAGACAATGCTAATGGCTCATCAGCTAAGACATTGGGTTGTGCAAAATCTTAGCCTTGCTGTAAATGTTTCAGCCAGCCTGTAAGTAATGGCTACCATGACTCAGCAAGGGCATGTGACTAGATCACATAGTATTGAACTCCATTTTGGGTACCTGTATTTTCCCATAAAACTTATAATCACTTAAATTCTATCTTTTGTAGTTAATAAGATTGTTTTGTGCTTTAGCTAACCGAATGTGCCTTTGAGTGAAAAGTCTAGGGAAAAATCTCAGCTTGTTATGTATCTTTCCCACATCGGGGGAGAGTGAACTATTTATTAGCTTACATTATACAGATAAGTGTCCAGAGTAAGATGATATAATTCTGGGTTTATACTCTAGCAGAAGGTGCCAGCCTGGGCATCTAGGACATTGGCTGGCCTCTCCTCTTGTCTTTTAGTGGCATAGGTAAGCACGTGGGTAGCTTAGTTTGAGTGTCACATCACCTGCTGTCCTGTTGGGTGATGAGAGGGCCTGGTGAGACTGGATATGAATCTCCAACAAAGTAGTGTGAGCAAAGCCAGTGGGTGGGTGGTTAGAAGAGGCACAGTCCCAGTTTGCACTCTGGAGGAGACAATCTGTCACAGGCACCTAAATAAACATCATCCACAACTCTTAAAAAAAAAAAAAAGGAGGTTCCTTTGGATGTACTTATGCAGTTGCTATGACCACCATCTCTCTCATGAAGAATCACTGAGACCATCAACATGTTTCATATATGTCACTCAATTGAGTGAGAACCCATAGTTCAGAATAGAATTTGGCCTTTTGATTGGGGACAGTGGAGCAGCCTCAAATGATGCAACTATGGATGAAGATGGAATATAAACCTTGCGATTTAGGTAGAAAGAAGTTATTCATGATCTTAATGAGAGAAATTCTGGTAAATGAATGGGTGGAAGGGAGGGTTTTCAGTGTGAAGTTGGAGAAGAAGAATGGTTGTAAAAAGTGTTTGTGTTTTGAAGGGAAGATGACGTGGTGGTTGAGAAGGGAGGTAGAATCAAGGGTAGAGTTTCTGAGGCTGGGAAGAAGATATATGTTTGTATTT